AATTCACCGGATCGTAAAATTATCGGATATCCGAAAAGAATTCTCTTCTTACAGAAACACAATGAATAATATAATTTGTTTTGAATTGATGTAATCGAGACGTATGGATTGCCTGCTTGAATTACTATTGTTATCTGTTAAGGATGTATTAGATGTACAGTCCCTGTAAAGAAAATTAAATTAAGAACAATGTTTAATATTTATACTTCAAACAAACTATATACATATGTAAGTTGTATGAATAATGATTACATTTTTGTTTAATAACAATTAATAATTTTTATAGATTATTTATTTTATTTGTTATTATTTTTATTGTTAAGAATTAAAATTAAAAAAATAGTAAAATTTACATTTTTCTTTTAGAAGTACTTCAAATATTTAAAATAATTTAGACAAAGCTTTATTGCAATTCACTAATTAGTTACAAATAGAACAAATAAATATTTTGTTTATTTACTGGACAACTAGTTCATGCATCGCAATGTAAATAATTTTGAATTATGTATCTTGAATCTGCGTAAATAATTTTGAATAATGTACTTATATTAAAAATTGAGATTTTTATTATTTATTTTATAATATATTTCCATATATTTTTATTAGAGCACAGATTTAAAAAATACTACTATTTATTAAAATAACTTATGATCCAGATAGTAAACCGTCACCAAATTTGTCGTATTATTTTTGAACGTGATTTAAAATAATCTGTAATTTTTTTTTATAATTTTGTTATTATTTTGAAAATATGTATATATAAAATATTCTTAAATTAATCATACAATTATATACAAACAGCCAGTGGCTCCTTGAAACAGCCCAAATTGGGTCCGGTTATCTTCTTTTTAGAAATATTAAATTTTTTAATTTAGAATTTTTCAAAATTATATTTTTAAAGAAGTTTTAACTTTAAATTATTTAAGTGTCTTGAAGGTCAGTCTAAAGTCTAACGCATACTTTATATTTAATGATTTTTATAAATCACGATTTTTATAAATAAATGATAATTTTTTTCCTGTGACAAAGTTTTATTCAAATATTTTCTTATGAGAGAAATTTATGAGATCATAACTTATCCAAAGATTTACACATTAAATAATAGGATAATATTTTTTTGTTAAATTCTCATAAAATTAAGAAAAGAATTTTGTAATTGCAATTGCAAAAACAAAACGAATGTTTAACAACATTGTAAAAATCATATATTATTGATTAAAAACTTGCTTAACTATATAAAGATCAATATGACTGATTTCAAAATCAGTTAGATTGATTGTTAAACTTTTTGTTTATAAATCTTTCTTCGATGATCAAAATATAAATATTACAAATTATTATTTGGCAACGTCTTTGAGGTACAATTAATTACATTTAATGTGAACATATGTATGTCTTTGTTCAATTAATTAGCAGAGAGAAAAGCTTTGATTTATTTTGTAATTATAATATGTAATATTAGAAATTTTACAAATTCATGAAAATATATGTAGAATATTATTCAAGAAGTGTCTCTGTAGCCATACATATAAAAAAATCAAGAAAAATAACGAGTTAATAAAAATAAGTAGATTAGTAATTTAGAAAAAAGTCTAGTAAAAGAAGAGTTAACACACTTGCATGAATGCTTCTATATGTATATTTATAACACTGTCCAACGTTTATTATAAGGATACATCTTCCTTCAGTGTTTTTCCTTGTCCCTATTTTCCATTAAAAATTAACTGTCGCATGAATCCCTCCCAATTTAATGCGGAAGCTGATAAATAATTTCATAGGGAATAAATGAAGCGGCTATAGTTTCGTATAGTGCAAGGGACACTTGTTAACACGCTTGCGCCGGTCTCACGTGCACTCTATTCTTATTTCTATATACACCTGTATACGGGACAGAAAGTAACAAGAAGTTACACATCAGTGTTGTTTTAACGGGCGAGCCGCGTAGAGTATCGTTTTGTGCGTCACGGACATTAAAGGTGTTACGCTTTCGCTTTTGCTTATAGCTGTTCCATGATATACGAATAATTATGTGCGAACAATTAACATTTTTCATTTGCGTTTATAAAGTTGCGTTTATAAATTTATAATGCTAAGATAAAATAAAAAATACAGCAAATAATTTTCTCATAACACGATTTATTGAATGTGTTTAACAATACAGATTTTCGCAGTTTTAACAAATTTAATTACAATTTTAAACGGAGTCTTTAAACATATATTAATTTGCGTATATAAATTAAAAATATAATTAATCCCCAATAGCGCGTGTGTGAAACTCATTACTTACTTATAATTACGTTATCTTTAATCTTGTTAGATTCAAACACACATTATGTCTTTCTCTTTCTCTCTCTCTCTCTCATTCGAATTAGAATTTACATATTAATAAAGGACAATTCGTTCAGTAAAAAATAATATGGCGCGTAAAAAATTTACTATAAAGTGATATGTTATACATATAATTAAAATTCACAATTGTTTTGAAAAATGTTTTGTCTTAATTGTATTATTTTTCTGTAAAAAATTAATTAAAATTTTAATTAATTGATGAATTTTAATTAATTTATCAGCGAAGGATTATGACAGCGAATGAGAGAAACAAAAATATATTTATTTTTAATTAAAGTTTTAGAATGTAATATAAAGATCTACAGTTACTTTTTAATTTAAGATTGTTAGTCAAATGTGTGTGCAAGCTTATTTTTGTTTATGTGTTTTTTGCTTAATGATTATTGAGTTAACTGCGTCTGTAATGTTTACATATCTTTCGTATTACAATGTGACAGTAGCATTTACAGCTGCGTGAACTAAAAGGTGAAAGCTATGTACAAATTGCAACAGGTGCATTTTAATTACGTGTGCCGAAGTTTTGTGTTATTCTTAGAATTTTGTATTTTATGAAGATATTTTTCACTAATTGATTTGTAAATGCATCGGTATCCGTAAATATATTGGTATCGTTCTAAGAAAATCGACGTGAAACAATATATTTATTCGCGATATTATCAGGAAAATCGGCCTATCAATCTAATCGTTTTTTTTTGTGCTTATTACTTTATATGCGACTTTAATTCCGAATAATACAAACTTCATAATAGATACTTTGTGTATCTTTATAAATATCTCATTTATGAAAATTTTCTAATAGATTCTTCACACATAGTAAACATCTTACTATTATAATTTTACAAAAACTATTAATAAATATTATTGTTATAATAATAAATATTGTTATTTATAAACATTATATATAAATATTAATACGGAGACACTATTATCGACAATAATTGAGATTACGAAATGAAGCATAATGATGGTTGTACTTAATATTGGTTGTATTTAAAATTAAATGAATCAAAAATATAATGCTCGATATAAAGAACTGAAAAACTCGCTTCATAAAAAGGTGTATTTTGTGACAATCTAATGTGAATGGCACAGTTTTTTTCTATTATACGTGTTATTAACATAAAACTGTTAAAGTATTGGTTGTGGTTTGGATAAAAATCTTCTCATGGTTATATCTTCATGTTATTACTCATAAATCGTCGATTTAGAAGTGTTACATGATTGGACTTTGGTCATTCAAACCACGCCGAAGCGGCAAGGCGGAGGTGATGTTAGGTGAGTGTCCCATGTATTGCTTTCAACGAGCATTTGTAACCTTTGGGTTTTAGAGCAATTCAAATAAATTTGAATCTAAAATTGGGCAACGTTCAATGAATCAAAATTTACGAAACTTTATTATAAATTGATCGTATGATTATATCTTTTGTAGAGGCTGGTGCATTGTTCGGATTTGACGAAGCTTATTGAATTCTATTTTCAAATATCGGACGCTTACTTACCGTAAGTTCCTAAGGAACTTTAAGAATTCCTTGAGATTTTAAGATTATTAAATCGATGATTGTAAAATGATATAAATTGCCCGTAACATCATCAATTTAGAGCTTTGTGATCAGTCTGACATTTGATACTTGATTGATTGCAATGAAAATCTTAACGTTGATCTTAATTTACAATGAATTTCTTCTGAGAACTGAAACATTTGCAATACACATGTACTATAGAGTATAGCTGTAACTATGTGATATAGGTGAAAAATAAAAGCATTTTTTTACAACAATTTTAAACTTAAATTTCTCAAAATTGTGACTTGATGACTTGAATTGGGACACTTGGTAGATTGGAGTTACGTGAAACACGAGAACACTATCGAGAAATATTCTCCTTCCCTTGGAAAAAAGCGATTTTTTTATCGTACTCTTCACGAGGTGGCACCGCGCCGTTTGCAGAAGTAAGGATGAGGGAAAATGTGATGAAAACATTGGCGACGGCAGCGGCGACGGCGGTGGGTGCAATGACTGTGCCGCGCGCTGACCCGAAGCCAAGAGTCATTCTCTCTTTCCGTTTTCTTCCGTGAGAAGCCCGCACCGTGTGCTTTGAAGCACGCACACGTGCGGTGAACGTAGGAAACGCGCGGTAGTACTGTAACGCGAGAGAAATGCACGATCGCTATCCGGCTCATCATACTAATTCGACGATTTACCGCGAAGCTTCTCATGCGCGATTATTATATATACCACGCATCTTTATGTTAACCAACGAACGCCCATATGAATGTTGAAAACCTTCTCCCCTTTTCCTTTTTATTTTCCCTTCTTTCTTCTTATCACTCTCACTCATTCCTAGAATTATAAAATTTTTGATACCCTTCATTAGCCCACTCTCTAGTTATAAGTTTTTATTTATTTATTTATTTATGTCAATTTCATTATCAATTTTAAGAAATTCAAACAATTTTATGTCATTATATGTCAAGTCTTGTTCTTCAAGAAATTGTTGTTTGTCTATATTATATTTATGACTTGTACTCCTCAACTTGTTTAACTCTTGTTTTACAAATTTATAATTTATACATATACTAAATTATAAATTATATATAGCACAATCCTCCTTTGATGTGTTTAGATAAAATCTTACGTGCATTTTTATTACAGGTTCCATTATGTTTCACGTGAGGAGGAGGCCCGCAGATTACATGCCGCGGAAACGTAAAAAGAAACCAACTGGAAAATGGAACGAGCTGGATCATAAGTATGTCAGTTTTAGGGAAATTTTTATTCGGAGAACATCAGAAGTTGCCCGAAATTCTTTATCCGATGGATGTTTAGTCTATTTTAATTAATTATATTTTGATGGGCCATAATATTTCATGACGTAGCAGATCCTAGCATCTTTTTAGTATCTCTAATCCTTTAATACGAATATTTTGACAAAATTAACCATATTTGCTTTTTATATAGATACGAAGACGAGAGACTACCATTTCTGCTGGAACTTAATCCTGACGGCAGCGATATCCCGAATGGCGCCGGAGTGCGACACCGATTACAACCGAATGTCACGGAGGTAGGATCAGAGAGACCGATAGGACCGCAAGCGGTGCAAGCGCAAACACTGACGCTGCCGGGACCGATGGTGATGCCCAGGCATTGCGTTATAGCCTTTACCGAGAACATTGTGACTCTCACGCCATGTTCCAGAGATGCGCATACATATGTTAACAATCAGAGGATACATCAGACGACCATTCTACAGGTGCATTTGTTTTTGCAATCAGAATGTATTCCCGTATATTCGTATATCGCATTTGTATATACAATGTATCTGCCGATAACGCTTGTAAGTAGGTAGAGCGAACTGAGACGAAAAGTCCTACCATTTTGCAATTTTCGCAATAATTAATGAGATATTAATTTCTAAATCGCGTATCCGCCCAACCTACCGCCAAATACACGATCGTAGTCACTAGTCACGCGGCGAATTATTTTCTTTTGCCGCCGTGCGTAACTATTGCTGCTTGTAATAAACAACTCCCCGCATATCTAGCGATTACGAGCAATGGGCATGCATTTGGCAGCATGGCCGGTGCGGCTGCGGTCGAATATGCGCTTATTCGGCAATCTTTCGAAATTAATGTCTTGTTAACGAATTATTGCGAAAATCATAAAATGGTACTTTTATTCCAATTTAATTTAGTCCGTTCTACTTGTCCATGAGTGCGTGATAGAATTACCAGACACTCTGTATATGATTGCGTAAATTTATGTAAATTTGATTACTCTTTTTAATATGAATCACAACTAGTACAGAAAATTTTTATTTTAATTTTTTGAATTATTATTTTATTATATTTAAAAATAATATTATAATTGAAAAATTTTTCATAAAACAAAGATTCATAAATTAAGATTTTCTCTATTTGTCGTGATCCGTGAAGAAATTACAATTTTCTTTTTATTTAAATATTTTTTATATGATTAAATATGTTTAAAAAAAATTATAAAATACCAAACAAACTTTAATTTTATATAAAATAAAAATAAAATTTTCTTTACTTTAAATTTCATTTAATTTTATATATTGAATTGTTAATGCACCGATTTGAAAAGCAAATATAATAATAAACTTCACTGTTGTTGTACACATTTATAGAATGGTGCTATCATCAAATTCGGCAGAATGCACACCTTTCGATTCATTGACCCGGCGCCGGAAGAGCGCATTAGGCAGAGACACGATTCCAACAAACAGATCGACTATGCTTATGACCGGTAAGTTTGTGACTTATAAGTAAGTTTGCGTTTTCCTTTCTCTCGTCATTGCAATCAGATGAGAATAGACGTGATGTGATGCGCGAATGTTGCACGTTCGTTGCAACTTAGCCAGTACATATTCTTTTGCATTGCAATGTGAATACACTTACAATAGTTCATGTTATTATAATTATTAGATACTCTTGTTGCTGTATTGCATTAAATCTTACATATGTAGATTTATTATGATTTTACCTGAATTACTAATGCTTTGTCTTTGAAAGTATGGAATACTTGTAATAAATGTTAAAATTTATGAATTGAGAAGCACAGTATAAATCTTTTTATTAAATAAGAAGAAAAAGAAAAGATTAAAACAGCGTTCTATATTAATTATGATTATCACATTTTATTAAAAATCTTCCATACCTTCGGCTGAATCTTGTTAAAGAACCGAAACGTATTTTTCCACGAATTTTTATTACACTTTTTTTTACTTTTTGATTTTATTTCGCTTGATATGCTTTTCCTGTTGTGATGCTCGCTTTGCACACGCGTAATGATAGACGCTCGCCGGACGCGACCAGTCAGGATGTCAGCTCAGAGAAGTTTCATCCGGGGTCTGGAACACCAAACGGCGGTAGTCAGATCCCGGGTCAAGCTCAAGAGCGAGCGACCCCGTCAAGTCCCTCGAAGTCTGCTGTTGCAGCAGTTCGTAGTCCTCGTAGTCCCACGCACCCGCCGGAGCCCACGCACAATTATGAGACCACATTCGACCTGGATGGAAACGTGGAGACCGCTAGTCTAAGCAGCAGCAGAGATGGCAACAGGTAGTAAACCGGGAAATAATTATTAACAATTTAAAAACAATTTGAATTTCTTATGTTTCAAAACAATTAAAAATGTGGAAGTTAGGGCTACTACGAATTGGTGTTATTAGTACGCGTAATTAGTACATATTAATGCAAAAAACTATTCAATCAATGTTTAAAAATTCTTGTTTGGCATTTAGTCATTATATAAAACACGTACGTTTCGGTTACTTTCTAGTCTTTATTAGCGCAATAAACAAATAGAAATAAATCTTCGCGTCATAGTCAATTAATGATGATTTTACGACGGGTTATGAGACTTAACTTACATTGAAAAAAACTTACAACTAAAAATTATTAATATACAATATATTAAATTCGTACTTATAATGAAAGGCTTATAATGCAAAGACTTTTATCACAAGATCTTTATCATAAGCAATTACAGAGTAAAACATTCTGTGCATTTCTTATGAAATATTTAAAAAGTATGCTTGATTTAATTCAGTTATTTTCTCGATTTGTATAAGCTTATTTTTTTTAATTCTTTAATTTGATCACTTTACATTTACGGCTTGTCAATTTAGCTAAATTATTTATTGAATGCACAATTATTATGCATTATTAAGCGTTTTTTTAGAATACTAGTGCATTGTAAAATGTACACTGTCAATATTTTCTTACAATATTATAAATATATATGTAGAATTATTCATAATTATAATATTAAAAATATAATATTGTATGAATGTATTAAATTATTTTTTGGAAATGTTGATATTGACTTTTGAAAAAGAATATTTGAAAGTTTAAATAGATTACGAGAAAAGAAATTAATGCCTATTGATTATTAGCAGGCTCTCACAATACGATCGACAACCGCGAGGCACCGATCCAATTCTGCCAGCTGTCTTAGAGTTTCTCGAGGAGACAGAGGAGACATTCCTTCACGCTGTCATCACCGATATAGAACCCTCGGCGCCACAATTCAAGTTAGCGCCAACATACACCCTCTATCTCAGCGCCAGATATCGCGCCAGTACTCATTATAGACCAGAATTGCAGCCTACGGAAAGAGCGCATCGACTTACCGTCATGTTGGCGAATGTTGCTACTATGATACAACGCGTTATCCAGGTATTTCTATGTGAATAATTGTGTCTTTTCAAGCAACGTATCTGATTTTTTAAGATGGTCCATGTAAATTTTGAAATATCTTTGAATTATTTCAGTGAATATATTTAAAAAAGTGCTTTAGTTTAGATATAATCTAAAAGTGTGATTATGTTACAAATGATTATTCATATAATAGCATATACGAATAGTCTATGAATAATATGTAATGAATATATGAAATGAATATATGTAATGAATATATAAAAAAATCTTAAGGAAAATTATGTTTTCAGGAACGTTACATGGACGCTTCGTCATTGGCCTTTTGGCTAGCGAATGGCTCGGAGTTATTACATATGTTGAAGAGTGACCGGCATGTAGGTGCATTTTCCACGCGAGCGCAAGATATCTTGGCAGAAGCGGTACACACAGCTTTTGGTTCGTTGGTGCGCTGCATTACATTAGAGCTTACACCAGCAATGACACAGTTCATGGCGGACGCAGATGAACCAGCGAAGGAGGCTGGAGTGTTGCAGATTTTTTCAAATACGATGGCCTTATTACGACGATGCCGTGTGAATGCCGCATTGACGATACAATTATTTAGTCATCTGTTTCACGCTATCAATGCCACGGCTTTCAATACTCTCGTCTCAAATGGAAATCTGTGCGTCAGATGGTTTGGACGCAGACTCAAAGCGAGACTGAACGCATTAGAGACCTGGGCCGAAAGGCAAGGCCTGGAACTTGCCAGTCAATGCCATTTGGCGACGATCATGCAGGCGACTCATCTATTACAAGCTCCGAAATACAATGCTGAGGAGCTGGCTACGCTAAGCTCGACCTGCTTTAAATTAAATTCTTTACAAGTGAGGGCATTACTACAAAAATATCAACCGGCCGCGGACGAGCCTAGACTACCTGCCGAGTTGATCGAGAACGTAGTGAGAGTGAGTACATTTAATAATCTGTGTTTATATCTTATATTAAAATAAAATATCATTTCATGTTCTTCATACAATCGATGTATCATAGGTAGCAGAGAGTGTCGCGGATACACTTGCGCGTGCAGATGGTCGCGAAATAAGATTAGAAGAAGAACCTGTCCTAGGGTTAGCATTGCTACTTCCCGAGGATGGCTACAGTTGCGAAGTAATAAGAGGTGTTCCACCGGGATTAGCGGAATTTCTGACACCTCTACAACGAGACGGATTATGTCGAATGGCAGCCCAACCTAGTAGTAGTGGTTATTGGACTATTTATATGATAGATCATCACAATAATGTAAGCTACAAATTTTTACATGAAAATCTTTGCATGACTTTTAATACGAAAATTAATTAGTAAGCAAATTATAGCGTTTATAATTCATCATTTTTATATGTGTATATCTTTCTAATTTAATTATTATAGATTTTTATAATTGTAGAAGAATATTTTTATATATAATTTTTTTTAATTTTTTGCAGTTGCGTAGTCCCAGCGCAATGAGTAATAGATCTGGTGGCTACATCAGTCACATAAATCAAAACCAAGCACAACCTGAGATACATGTTATTAAATTACACAAGAGTACCAACGGTATGGGCTTAAGCATCGTTGCAGCAAAGGTATGCATTCTTAGCTACGCATACTTATTTATTGTAATGAAATGATATTAAATCTGTTTTTTTAATTCTAATACACGTAGGGTGCAGGACAGGATCGATTAGGTATCTACATCAAAAGTGTTGTTGCTGGTGGTGCCGCAGATGCTGTAAGTAATTGCCATTTATTTGGAAACATTTCATATTTCTTACGATATCAAAATTATGTTTGAAATGTATGATAATATTTATTGTATATTGCATTTAATTATTATTGAATAATATTTTACACATGATAACATTTTTAGAATGCGCCAAGTTTTAAGCATACGCTTTTAAATTAAATGTGTTACATTGCATTAAATATAGTTAGAATAACTAAAACTTGCTTTAAAATTAAAAAAAATAAGACACAATTTTAACAATAAATAAAATTTAAAAAGTCCTGATTATTATGAAATCAAAATTTATGCACACGCACGTGCGCGCACACACACTAAAATAATTCTGATTAAGTTTTTATGAATTCTGAAAACAAATTTTCATATTATTCAATCAATTTATTTTTATGTATTTATTTTCAGGACGGTAGATTGACGGCAGGTGATCAACTACTCAAGGTAGATGGACAAAGTCTGGTCGGGATAACGCAGGAAAAGTATGAAAAGCTTTAATAATAATTACATATGTAATTTTAACTTACATTTCTTAATAGTTTAAAATATTATATCACTAAAATTTATTTGCAGAGCTGCTGAGTATCTTGTACGTACCGGTCCGATCGTGACATTGGAAGTTGCGAAACAGGGCGCTATATATCACGGACTTGCAACGTTATTATCTCAACCTTCTCCGGTGATGTCAAGAGGTAAGTTCAAAGATTAATATTGTAATTTCGAAAACTAATTTAGCCTTTGAAGAAAGATAATCGAAATCTTATCAATCGATAAAGCGCGTGAAGAAAATAATTCTGTACGCGATTTAGGTCTTACAGAAGAAGTTCAGTTTAGTTTTTCTACTTTTCTTTCTGCCGTACAGGTATAATTATTAAGACTCAGTTTCACAATTCACAGTTAATTTTTAACCAAGGTTCAACTTATTTCTCATCTATTTCCAATTTCTAGAATTAGAAAGAGATAAGGAATAAATAAGTTAAACCTCGGTTAAGAGTTAACAATGCGTTGTGAAACTGCCTAAGAGGGTAAAGAATTATTAAGTTATTGTACAAAAATTTTCATAAAATTACACATGATGCAAATAATGCACTTGATGAAAATTGTTTATTATAAATTGGATTAATTTAATAATATATAAAACAACTTTTCCAAACGGTCAAGCATATCACTTTCTTGCTTTAAACATGTCAATAAGATCTTATTTTCTACAAAATACTGATCAGATTTATCACCAGCGAATATTTTTTAATCCACATAATTGCTTTGTCAGAATGCTTTTCGCTTTGCTTCGCTGGAAAAGAGCCCGCTTTACTAACGCTTAACTAACTACTTGTTTCATGCAGCATATAAGACTCGGCCCAGGTCCGAGCTCTTAGAGTCAGCGGTAGAGACAACGGAGATGACCAATCAGCCAGCTACGTCACATTCAATGGGTGACTTATTGTCCTTTCCGAAGCAGGCGCCGTGTCAGGAGTTAGTTCAACCAGGTGCGATATCATCTCAATGCATTTTTGAGACACCATTTTACCGTAATCAAATCAACCGAGGTTTCCCACGAGTCGACGTCGATGAGTACCATTCCATGCGACAAGATCCGCTCTTTCGTCAGAGAGGTGCATATCCCAGTGTTTATTCCGTTGACAACAGAGAACATATTTATTGTCCATCCACCCCTATCGTATCTCCCGTGCGTCTTTCGAGACCTCGTATATCTTGTCCCTTGATTTCTGTTACGAGCGACAATGAGGTATCATCCGTCATATATCAGAATGAAAGTGACGAGAGTGATAATAAGATCATAGAGAAAGGAGATGGCAGCACAGAACAAGATGGAGCCACGACGAGTAATTTAAATTATTCGACAGATGCTTTAAATCTGTTCGAAAGGATCACCACTCCACTGCGAGAGTATGTAGGAATAACAAAGGACTATAAACACTCGCTGCTAACAGAACCACTGACTGTCGATAGAAATCTTTTCGATAATATACCCTACATTGATCAAACCGACAGTATTAACTTCACAGAGTCTTCTGAATGCATTCAGACAAACTTAAGTAACAAATGCAAGCATTGTATTAACGCCGACTGTGACAACTTTAATCTTGAAAATTCTCAGAAACGCACAAATGTAGAGCGTAATAGACAACAGACTTTAAACGTTCTCGAATCTAGTTCTGAGTTAAATACACGTAACAATTCAAACTGTTCATTGATTAGCTCGTTTCCTGCGAATAACTCAATATTGTTTACCAAAGACACTACAATTGGATCAGATTCCGTTGTAGAATCTAAATCAGATGGTTTCTTACGCTTTTATAACGTGGATACCACAAAACATGTATTGAATATTGATGAACAATACGGGTCCAATTCCGAAGATTGCACGGACGAATCTAGTTCCACGATTAACGATGATTGCGCATCAAGTAGAACTGACAAAGATACCGAGGAAGGAATCTCGACTCCTAAAATGTACACAATAATGCCAGAGTTGCATCTTGATCTGAGCGGACTGAACAACGACGTATCCAGTGACGAATCTAAAATGGAGAAGTGTTGGAAGTCACCGGAAGAAGTGCGCTTAGGGTGCGGTAGAGTCGCAGCGCTAGCGAGACATTTCTCAAAACTTGGCGACGCCGGTTTAATTAAGTTTAAGTCCACCAAGTTGAATGGTTCCCGTCAATTCGTGTCTGAGCCAAATATCATGGCGTCGCATAAAAGCGACGAACATTTGCATCATTCTTATCACGCACAGAAAGAATACAAATCGGATTCGAACTTGGTAAAAGAAAGAGATGAAAATTCTCGACTCTGTTCAGATGGGAAACACAACAATATCATTCAAGCAGATGGCGATTTTGCGGTTGAAAAATGTAAGTTTTATCATTGCGGCGCTAGACGAGTCACAATTGTCAAGATTCCAATGAACGAACAAATTACGATTAATGAGGAAAGTACAATCCAAGCAAGGGACGAAAATCATAAAGACATTATTAAAGATGAAAATCAAAGTTTACTTGATACTAAGAAGGACATATCTTTGATAAAAGTTGAAAACATATCACATAATAATAGCAAAAATCAGGTGTTTCTTAATACCAAAGAGGATATAACTTTTGTTGAAATGGAGGACATGGCAACCAGTGGCAGCAAATCTCAAACGGTTTTTATAGGTGGAAGTAAAAAAAATATGTTAACTGGAAAAGATAACATTAAAAATAGTAGCTTCAAACTCTCCTTCGAGCAGCAGAAAGTAATTACAGAACAACTCGAGCAATTCTCAAATCTAGATAACGCCGATGCGCCTTTATTTATACCAGAGCAAGACATATCAAAAGATTCTACTATTTCTCAAAAAAATCAGAATAATGAAACATCCGCTATTGATGATTTGACTCAGCAGTTGAATTTAATAAAGCAATTAGAGGCAGCACCTCGAAAAAAATTATTGTCGTTGATCGATATAGATGATAACTTTAAAAAAATTAAGAAAATTTCTGATTCTTCGTCATCCTCTTCTCTGCCTTCCATTCAATCTCCTTCATCTTCCATCGTGCTGTCACTATCGAACGTTGCGAAAAGTTCTCAGCCTTCGGAAAATATCAAGTCACAGATTCATCAATATTGCGAAAGATATCCCAAATGCTTGTTTATAGATATTTCTGCCGCTAAGAATTGCTCCAACGACACCTCGGGAAGCTCATTGATGTCACATACAAACGTGTATTCACGATTAGGTAATAATAAATGTTCAGTTCTACGAATGCGAATTGCCAGACCTCTTTGTAATAGCGAAAGTAATCTGATCGGTACTACAATTTATGATAAAGAGACTGAGAGAGTCACAAATCTTCACGACAAGTCTTCTAAATTAACACAAAGTTGTGAAAGTATTTTAAATAGTAAATTTTTATCTGATTCTGATGATCGAACACGATCCTTCGAAAATATCTGCAAAGAACCAGATTCATCTTGCAAGTTTTACGATACATTGATCTTAAATCCTAAGGGAAGTGTACGATGGCACCATCATCGTTCCCTTGAAGAATTGAAATCGAAAAAGAGATTGAGGAAAAAAGACAATTCGATGAATTCTATTTCTGTTCACTCTACTCAATCAAAATTTGACAAATTCTATGGTGATCGATTAGACTTCGAGGATGGAGAAGATATACATTGGAATCGTCATTTGTCGCTTGAAGAATTGAAATCTAAGAGAGAATCTCACGAGCAAGACAAATGTAATTTAGAACGTACAATCTCTGCTGACGTACAGATATTTAACCGGATGCTGAAAAAGAGACTTTGCATTAAGCGCATAAGCGATGATCGGCTGAAAAATAATTCTCTTAAATTGTCGCATGAAAATGCAAAAGACATGGACCAACAAAGATTGAGAACAGAAGGGAAATCTCAGAGCAAGTTTGACGTTTCGAGACGGAAGTCCGATTCAGAGAGATCCAATTGGAGTTTTCGCGAGATCAGCTCACTGAAAGATGATGACCGGTCCGCTTTGCGTAAGCTACCACTACGTGTTATACATTAAATGTGCATTTTTATAGTCGGACTTTTCTTTCTTCAAGCACTTTTATTTCGCCTGAATGAGATGAATGAAAAATTTACATTTGCAAATCGGATTTGCGGATCGGTGTCGCACGGTTATTAGATTTATTTACTTATATTGCGTTTGCTGCTTATTTATAAAGCAGTTGTAAGCAAAACCAAACGATTTTTCAGCGTAAATCATCTTCATTTTATTTCACAGTACATTATTTTATGGCATGGTTGATAAAACGGTGTAATTGAAAACTCTGACCAAATTATCTTTATAAAATTATATAAAATTATAAATAATAGGCTATAAAATAATAAAGTTTTTAGAATAATATACAGTGTGTTTCATTTTAAGTGATATGGTCGATTATCTCGCGAACCGATGATTTTATTGAAAAATTTTCCGGACAAAAGTTGTATAGCTTGAAGGGGGACACACGATGGAAATGTGGACTTAACCTTGAATGATTTTGTCAAAATTAGGTCAAGATCATTAATGTTTTTTTAAATAGAAACTCCTATTTTTTATTATATATTTTTGTAGCTTATCTCGAGAGCTTTCCAAAACACACTATAATAAAGTTACTTTTAAGTACTTGTAAGTAAATTATAAAGTAAGATCGATCAGTGATCCGGCCAACTAAGGCAAGACCGAACACTGATCCGGCCGATTAAGGCAAGATCGAGACCGAACCGGCAAACTAAGGCAAGACTGATCACTGATCCGGCCGATTAAGGCAAGATCGACTAAGGCCGATCTTGCTTTAATCGGCCGAATCAGTGATCGGTCTTGCCTTATAACTTAACAAGTACTTAACGAAAAATAACTTTATTATAGTGTATTTTTGAAAAGCTCTTGAGATAAGCTACAAGAATATGTAATAAAAAATAGAGGTTTCTATTTAAAATAACATTAATGACCTTGACCTGATTTTGATAAGGTCACTCAAGGTCAAGTCCATATTTCATGTGTCCCCCTTTAAGCCATGCAACTTTTGTTCGAAAAATTTTTCAATAAAATCATCGATTCGCGAGATAATCGACCATATCACTTAAAATGAAACACCCTGTAAGTATAGTTTCTATTCTATCTATATATAAGGAAAATGAAAAATTTTTTTTCTCTAAACAAAACTGAGAGAAGTTGAAGATTTTATCGAGATAAGAAATTAATTTGATTAGTTTTTTATATAAATGCATCGATTAACATATTATTTATGGAATGGATTGCAAGTGTCATTCTGCAAGTTATGAAATACACAATTATTTTCACATTAATAACACGATATATTTTGCTATACGCAAGCATGATATATTAATATAATTTTTTTTCAAGATACTTTCTTTTGTTCCATTATACTGTATTTAAAATAATATGCTTAGCAATACACCTGTGGTATTATATGCACGTAATGGTAGTTAGGTGCGTGGAAAGAGAATGTTTTATATTAGATACAATTATTCAATTATGAACTACATAATAATTGTGACAAAATAAGTACCTTTTATTTTATAATTACATGTTCTTACATTTCTAATTAACAAACTAATTACATAATGTAAACGTGCACGTATATGTTTAAATATTAATTAATATTTATTGTGTGCAATGCCTTCTCTGTAAAATCTGATGCAATATTTTTCTATTATGAATCACACATCCAACGAAAACTATTTTTTTATATCCCTGTTGAAACACAATATTACAATGTATATAGAAACTTGCTCAGTGTAGCTCGTCATTGTTATAAAGATCTTACAGTTGACTGTATGACATTTTCTGTTTCATCACTTTCACCTTGTCAAAGTTAAACTTCGGCAACCCAGAAAAAAGCGTTTTTTTCTCAACAAATGCTTTGCGTACGTGCATGAGTAATCATTTTAATGTCGCGCCTCGACACCTTCATGTTCATCAATGCATTAACTCAAAGCTATCTCTTTGTGTACCCGCTTTGGGCTACTACAGGTCCTCGTCGCATGAGCGAGCGGGATTTACCGTCACGGCTTGGACATGATGCCACTCTTCAGCAAATCCATAGCAGCAAGTCTGTACCGGCATTGCATAGTAAGTAAGAGCGAGCTTTATGTGCGCACGTCATGCCCGAATCACTTTATCTATCACTAGATAGATTAGCATAGGTGAAACATCTTTTATCTCTTATCGAATTGCACAGTGCAGTTTCAGGATTTTACTAGATTAAATATAACAGAAACGTCTACTTCTTCTAATTTAAGTAAGATAGGGATATATATGCAAGGATATATTATTTATTCGCTTATACATAAAAATGAGATTTATATAGATATGGGTACCGAAGCTAAGCAACAGCATGAAGTGTTCAATCCCGGATACAGCAGAGCTTCTTCCAGCAATAGCGTTACACCGCCTGTTCAACCACCTCCTATGGCGACGATCAATAGTGCAACTTCTTTACGTTCCAGGTAAATATCATCGCGTTTTTAACTTAATTGAAATTGTTTTTGATGCACATTTTAAAATATCTCCCAGCTTTTTCGACTAAATGAAATTTTACGTAATCTGTCCTAAAGAAACTAGAGATAATTCTTAAGAATAATAAATTTTTTTAAAAGTATCGTGTAAAGTATCTAAAATCAGAAAAATTTAATCAACCTTTTTTCATGTATTAATTTCATTCAGTATTATCTAATGTTATTGTAAATTGTACATTCTGTTAAATTACGAGAAATGATATGTTTATAAGATAACATATTCTTATGTATATAGGTCGAGCCATAACTTGCATGATCCCATGAGAATCGGAACTTTACCGTCCACTGGCTTGGTCAGCAGGCAGCAATCGTCGCCCAATTTAAATCCAAGTACGTCGCACATAAATACACCGTCGAATGTACAGGGCACAGAAGCAGAGCGATTTTATCAGAATCTGAGTATTTATCGAAACCAAGACTCAACGGTGAAGCAACAAATCAGTCCACAACAGTCAGAAGATAGGTATAGATATATAGTCTAACCTTATATTTTCCTATTTTTATATAAGCACTTCTTTTACCACATTTAGCGTTTAATCATTATTTAACATTTAAAATAAAAATGTGCTTATAAATTAATTTAGAATGTAATCTTAATAATTTTTCTTAACTATTCTATTTTGAATACTTTCTAAATTAATTGCTATGTTTAGCAGAAATCCTCAGCACATCCAAAAGGGTTCATTAAAGGGTTCGCAGAACTCATTGAATCGTCCTTCTACTATGGAAGTTGGCAGCCATTTCCGAGATCGTCCGACATCTGCTTACATTACCCAAGGCCAACAGCAGAGCTACTCAGCAGTCAGCAATCAAATGCAGCAACAAACTAATGGTCCACCACGTTCCCAGTCTTCTCGTGACATTATCCGCCAGGAGGCGAAGATGCAGGAGATGCAGGAGGAAGTTCGCCGACGAGAATTGCGTGGCGGCGTACCGCTACTCAATCAACATAGACCGCCAATGTACAACATCAGTACTCGAGTAGCGGTTCCTTCTGCTCAACAAGTGTCGAACTTGCGTTTACCAAGGCCACTCGGTTCCACGTCGAATCTAGGAACGACCTCCAACTACATGGCGAGACAAAACGCGCCTAGTTACAATTATCTGGATGCCCAATATGCTCAGTACAACAGCACGCAGTATAATCAATATAATCCCAACCGATATCCGGTAATTGAAAGTCAATACGGTCCGATGATGATGCCCAAACCGAAAAACGAGACAATCGCGCGCGACCATCAGCCGATGCCCAATGAAAATTTACTCGGTAGAGACTCGAGCAGTCAAGAAGCAAAGTCATACGCCGAACAGAACCGACATGTCGCGGGTTCACAGAATAATCCGCATTATCCGAATGGTAATCTAGAACCCCGCGTCGATCAATATGAGAATGACAACTTCAATCGTGCGCAAAACGGAGATGGCCATTCTACAGAAGTGCCACCAATGAGACCGGCTTTGCCATCTGAGGATACATTTAGCGAAAGTCCACCACCGCCGCCGCCCAGCACTTCAACGCACCCTCTGTACAAGCAAGCCGATACGAGGTACGCATTTTAATGAATTTAAAAGTTGTTATGTGATTTAGACGTTCTATTTAACGCTTACAACGCTCATGGAATCATTTCATCTTTGTCGTTTGTCAAAATGTTAAACAAGGACAAACAATGCTCACGAGTATTGCGAGCGTTAAGTGGAACGCAGCCTTAGGGCCATGGCACACAAAAAAACCTTTTTTTTTTGTATAATAATATTTTTATTGCGATCTGTCTATAGGGGTGACATTTAACAATAGGTTAGGCACATGTTAAATCAGTCATGAACGAACAGGATTTATTAAGTCGTATTTTTGAAAATTCTATGTCAGTATTACATAGAGACTAATTTATTAGATCAAGAGGCATTTTACGTTTTAGTTTTCTTCTAACGATTTTGGATCTTGACAATTGGTTTGCAATGGAGTTCGGGTGTTCAACTAGGCGTTGAACGTATTTTTGTGCGTAAGATTTAATTTCCTCCTTAAGAGTAGGCATGTATAAGTCATGGTGTATCTGGTCGTTGGTAATAAACCAGGGTGCGTCACTATTAAAGGAGGATTTTAGATTGAAATCTCTCTGTAAAATTTCGATATTGAAGTGGGCAGATGTTCCCCATAATTGTATTCCATATGTTCAAATTGGGTTCAATATGAACTTGTAGAGAAGTAGTTTATACTCAAGAGGTAAGAAGGTCGTCGTATTAGCCAGAACATTTTCCTCAGTTTCAGACCTAGTTGTTTACGTTTAGCAAATATATATTCACGCCAGTTTAAGCGACGGTCCAGATAGAGATCCAAGTATTTAGCGTATGGTCGTCTTGAAGTATTTGTATTCCATTTAATGTTATTGGTGGGCATGTTCCTTGTTTGTTCATAAAAGTAACGTGGATAGACTTGCTCTCATTTACTTTTATGCACCAAATCCTGAGCCACTTCTGTATTTTATATAAACTTGTCTGAAGGATATGTGATGCCATCCTCATGCGACGCTAAAACGGCAGTATCGTTTGCCAATTATAGATTTGTGGTGAGTAAGTAAATAAATCCACAGTGTGTAATAGATACAAGATCGGCCCCAGTACACTGCCCTGGGGAACTTCGGCTTGAATTATATGCATAGTGGTTGAAGCATCTCCATACTTAACATACATATGTCTCTTATCTAGATAGGATCTGTAGTGAGGAAATTGTAGTAATTGATAGGAAAATTGAGTTTAATTTTATTTAAGAGACCATCGTATCAGACCTTATCGAAGGCTTGAAATACGTTAATAAATACAGCAGAACAGTATTGTTTTTTTCTCGAATGACGCATTTATTTTGTTCACCAATCTATGCACTTGTTCTATAGTGTTGTGTTTTTTCCTGAAACCGAACTGATGGTCTGATATGAGCTTTCTTTACTCGATAATAGGCATAGGTCTTAGCAGGAACAATTTCTTCATCACTTTAGAAGTTACAGGTAGTAAGCTAATGGGACGGTATGACTTCATATCCTCCACTGGTTTACCAGGTTTTTGGATTACAATAATCTCGGCTACTTTCCATTGAGGTGGAACATAGCCCCTCCAAAGTATGGCATTATACAGTTGCGTGAGATAAACAACACCCTCTGAGGGAAGCTCCTTTAGCATCCTTTAGCATAATAAGATCCCAATAATAAGATTATACCCGGGTGCCTTGTTTGGGTTTAGATTTTTTATTACATCCAGCACTTCATGTTTAGTAAATTTACTAATTGGAGAGTCGAGTTGATTTGTTTGGTTTAGGACTTTTCAATATTTATGACCTCAGTAGGTAAGCATTTATTTGGATCAGGTAAATACAGTCGAGGAGTGTGTTTGATAAAGGCTTCGGCTTTTTCTATGTTGCTCCTGAACCAGGTATTGTCATTCTTATGGGTAGGGAGGTAGTTGGAGGATGGCTTTAGTCTTTTGATGACTTTTCATAAAGAATAATCTGAAGTTTCGGAGGTGTTCAAATTAGATTTGTTGAATACCTTTGATCCACGTTTTGTAGTAGAATTTTCAGTTTTTTGATTGCACGGTTAAAATAACTTTTGGTGGCAGGACATTTATTTTGTTGCCCCTGCTTATGTAGTTTACGTTTCTTATCAATTTTTTCTTTAATGGTTCGGATACAGTCAGGCACAGGCGAGCACATGTCTTGGTTTAATGGTGTTGATTTCCACGCTGCTTGTTGGACACAACTATTAAAGTGTTCAACACAACAGCCTCCATGAGTTCCTCTCGTCTGTTCTAAGCAGTATGTTGACATTAAGAGCGAACTTAACAGTTTCACGGAAATTATTCCAATTAATTTTACGGTTATGTAATCTTAACGGTTTTTCGAAGACTACAATCTAACTATTGAAAGTAATTAGGACTGGAGATTGGTCCAATGATAATTCCGACCACAATTTGCATTTTATGTAAAGTTTTGATATACCTTTTGCAATATCGAAGTCGATAAGATCGGGTATTATTTGAATCAGATGGCCAGTAAGTTAGTTCTCTGATTGTGATTGCATACATGTGCAGATTGTCAATAACTTGCATTAGTTCACGACCTCTGGGTAAAGTGAGTCTAGAGCCCCAATGGACATTCTTAGCGTTATAATCTTCTGTCGCGATAAAACGGTGCCTCAGACTAAAGAATTTTATGGTGCCTCAGGTAAAGAATTTTATGAATTATTCCTTTTTTTATCGAGTGCCTAGGTGGGCAGTATACGATCGAAAGGATTATGGACCTGACCACGATATTAATAGCCTGGAGAGAGTTTGCACGGAAAGAATTGGTTTCATTATATTTTCTCTAATGAGGACCTTTGTACTTTCATAGGCTGATTCGTCGGGTGGTTGGTGTGATATAATTTAAACTCGGGTATTTTATGAAGCTTCTATTTGTGAAGTGTGTTTTTGATATTAACATAATGTCAATGTTATGTGTTTTTAGAAATTTTTAATTCATCAGAATGTTGTGGTAAGCCATTGATATTCCATACTGCAATATTTAATTTATCGAAAGCAGCGATATTTTGACTATAAGATTGTTCAATGTTTTTGTTATATTTATTATTTACTGCATCAGTTGTGTTAGCATTTCGATGAGTACATTGTGACTTTTATCTGAACATTCTAGTTGTTTAATGCCATCGCCATCCAAGAATTCTTGAGTAGATGATTGCTGCACTACCTGAGAATAAGTTGCCTTTGTAGACATATCTTCACTCGTTGCCGGAGTCCGCGCAGATTGATCAGAGGTGGAGATTGGAATTACTTTCGGTTTAAGGTTTATAATTTTGCTTTTCTGGAGTTGTTTATAGACAGTACAGCCCTTGTAGTTTACGAGATGGTTACCATTGCATAGAATACAGATAACACTGTTTGATCTCTCCTTTTTCTAGTTTAATGTTTTCCTGTGCACTTTATACATCTTAGTCTGCGGTGCAAAATTTGTATGTGTGACCATACTTGCTGACAGTTTGCGCACTGCGGTATTTCCCTGGGTAGGGGTGCTTCAAATACTACTCAACACTGCAGCAGGTACTGAGTTTTGTATATTTCTTTATCTATTATTTGTCAGATTTTAAGTCAATGAAAAATATCGGTTGGGGTTCTTGGATACCCTTTGTTTAATGTTCCAGATATTGGAAACACTATAGCCTAGTTGCTCAATAGCCTCTTTAATTTCAACAGGATTTGTCGATGGGTGTTCTTGAGAACCACTCTGAAGTTACGCTCATGTTTTTGATTTATATGTATAAAACTCAGTATCGCGTTGTTTAAGTTCTTTAATTATTATAGTATAGACTTCTGTAGATTTGGATTGGATTTTTACTTAATGCGTGACTTTGATCACATCCTGTCATAATTCTGGAGAATGGTTTTATTCAGAAATTTAATAAGCGGTTGAATGTTACTAACGCCGTCCACGAAGATTGGAGGAAGTTTGATTTGTTTTTCCGACTGGACAGAAACAGTTTCCTAAGTATATTTTTGTTATCAAAATCTTGAAAATGATTTGATGTTGGAACTTGATCGTCCAACCAGTATGTGTCTATTTTGGTTTCCTTATTTGGCAACATAGGACTGTATTTAAGTCTTTTCTTAGAGATAACTTGAACCTATTAATCCCGCTGATTCTCACCGGGATGATTTTTTTTGTTTTAATAAAAGTAGAAGAATCAACGTTGGTGGCTTTTACTCAACTTGAGAGATTTTCTTGAGTTCCGCTAAAGGAGTAAGAACGAGTTCTGTAGTTAAATTTTATACGATCAGATATTAAGATAAGTTTTTCTTGAGGTTTTGCAGTGGATCCTATCATTACGGATTTCTACTTTTTTTGGTGGTGATCTCGGTGTCTTGGCGCTTTTTTTTTAAAGGAATATCAGCAAGCAATAGTTGGTCCAGAATCCGTAGGGCCTGCCTCTGTAGAGGGTGGATTTTCCAGTACAACTGGGTTGCCACCTGGGGTAGTTTCTCCCGAATGTTTTTCCCGTATGTTTTTTCCATTGCTTAGCTGCCAGCGATCCTGGTATACCGATGTTTTTCTGTCGGGGTTTGTTTTCCTTAGCTGACTAATCCCAATTTTAAGGCGTCAGGAATTCGCCTTTTCGTCCTTGTCTTATCCAGGGGGCATGGCGAGGACATGCATCGGATTGGGCAGGAATAAATGGCATTTCTCAGATTTTATTGAAGCTTCTCCGTCAATAGGATGAGCACCCCCAACAAAAAACTTAAGCAGTAAAACGTAAGCAGTAAGCAGATTGACCACAGTAAAATCTGTAAGGCCATAACGTAAGTAGTAGCCAATCTAACATGTTGATTTCCTTACTGCTTATGTCTTACTGCCTTAAGTTTTTTGTGTGCCATGGCCATTAGTGTCTTAAGATTTCTTTCATCAACTTCGATTAACACTAATTTAATCGATGGTCAATCATCACGATTGCCAACGTGACAATTAAACACAGTTTGTATTAGAAGAGAGAGAGAGAGGAGAAATGTTCTGATATTAAATTGCTATTGACATTTCTGCGAGTTGATCGTCGATTAATTTAATCATAAGCTGGTGAAAGAGGCCCTAAATAACGAAAGAAAACTTTGTAGATATACCGCAAGCATGCAGGATCCACCACGAGGTAGTTATTACCCTGTGGGAGGAATCAGTGCCATGCAGCAACCGCGTCAGTATCAATATAGCGCGACGAATCCTTGGCAACGCGAAGAAAGAGAGAAGGTAATGAATAAAGGAATAATGAATGAAATGAGAGCGATAAGTCTCGTTAGAATGATAACTTTTAGTTTAGATTTATTTTTTTATATTTTTTTGAAGTTTTTGTTCTCTTAAATTGTTGTGTAATTAAGAGTTTTAAAAACAAATTTTCTGGAATTTTTAATTTTATTATATTTCTCTTTAAGAACATGTATTTGATATTGGTATCTTTAGGAACAAGCTCGTAGAAGAGAAGCCGCTCGTCAATGGCGAGATCAGCAGATTGCTGAGCTAAGCGCACTAACACATCGAACTCAGCAGCAGGAGGAGCAACTACGAGCTCTTCAACTGGAAAGAGATTTCCAGAAGCGTGCGGAGGAGATTGCTAATCAAGACGATGATGAGGAGAGCAACGATTTGGACAACGAGAGTGTGCAGCGCGTTCAGGGCTTGCTAAGGATGGCAGCCAGTCAAGACAGAGCAATCCAAGGAGCTCTGCCACCGACTTTATCGAGAACAATTACTGGCAACCAATCTATGAGAAGTGGTTTGCCTCTTCTGAGCAGCCAATCTGTCACCAGCAGTCATATTCACATTCTGCCCAATCAAAACACAGCGCCTCAAAATGTTGAAATGAGCAGTCCTGGTCGAGAAAATAATGGGTTGCACGTACAATCAAATCAGCAGCAACAACAACAAACGGCGGGTCAAAATGAAGAGCATGTATCGCCAGCTAATTATGGCACACATAGTCATTTCAGTTCTGGTCAGAAGTCTTATTCCATGGGTATGTCGCACTCCGTAGAAGATAGGGAATTGCAACGGAAAATGGATGAAGTGAAGCGGAAGCAGGCTGGATATGAAGAGAATCAGAAAAAACTAGAAGAACAACAGCAGCAAATATATCAATTGAATCAACATCCGCGCAGCCAGCTACACCCTGGCATGTTGCGCTTAGACAATTTGATTATTAATGGCCCTAACATATCTACATGTTAGTAAATTGAAGCTGTTTTTAAAACTTTTATTGAACATTGAACTTTGAGTCTTTTGTATTCTCATATTTTTTTAAAGAGAAATTGTCTCAAAATATTTTTCCTATAACGAAAGATTTACAAATACAATATATTTTAATTGTATGTTTTAGATAATTACATGATTACATTATTAGACTTATGTAATATTTATGGTATTTATTATAGCTTCGCAAAACAATATAAACGATGCACCCCCACCACCAGAACGAGGTTCTAGTTACGCCGTTATGTCACAGCAGAGTGCTCTCAGATCAAACGGCTCGACTACATCTAATCTACCTCCCACTTCTCAACAGTCAGCATCTATGAAAAGAGTTTCTTTTCATGATTCGAATGCAAACAGTGAGTCCATGCTGCGCAATGTATCATCTGGAATGTCAAACCCGCCGTCAATCTCAATGGATATCATTAGAGAAGATCCCAACGTGAGTAATTATAACATCTATTTCTTTTATTTCTTATCATTTGCCTTCTTTAATTTACTTGTATTTTGTCCTATGTTTTAACATATTTGATCTTGATATAAAAAATTGCAAATTAATGTTTTAAATTTTCATTGTATTATTTTAGTATTTACATTGTCACGTACGAGGTCTGTTCAAAAAGTATCGCGAATTTTGAATTTCCGCGGGTTACGTATATTCGATTTTCGATTTTTTGTGGCGTTATGTTGGTACTCATGTCTCTCACTTATGCCGACAAGTTCGGCCATTTTGATAATTTTTCGGCCATGTTCAGTTAATTTTTGACAGCTGCTTTGCTTGCACGTGTTTTGG